GAGGTCCCCCAGAATTCACTGTCCACCCGGAACCTCAGAATGTGACATTATGCGGAAGGGGTTCTTCGCAGAGATCATTGTTTAGGCTGAGAGGAGGTCTTGACTTGGGCTAACCGGGCGCCTGGGATCCCGGGGACTGGACATCTAAGGCAAACTCTAGAGCAGGGTGTCTGGAAGTGGTGCTGGATCCAAGGCCCAGGTTTGTACAGGTCAGAGATTTGTTTTCCAGGCCCACCCGGCTGGGCAGCCCCAGGGTGTGGAAGCAGGACGCAGACCTTGCTCGGAGGTGGGGACCAAAGGAGGGGCTCTCACTCAAGGAGGAAAGTTTCAGGGAATGGACCCCATTGGTGAAGCACAAGGAGAAGTGGGGTGATTTGTGACAGTCAGCTATCATTTCTTAAAATGAAAGACGTTCTGAATAGCAAAGGGGGATGGGGAAGGGGGAATGGAAAGTGGTGGCTTCCATAAAACATTCCTTTAGTCATGCAGGTGGCCATGCGGTTGGTCTCAGCTGCTCGGGAGGCTGGGGCAGGAGGATCAAAAGTTTGAGGCCATCCTCAGCAAGTGAGTGAGACTCTCAGCACCTTAACAAGACCCCCTGGGAATGCRGCTCAGTAGTAGAACAACCTGGGTTCAAACCCCAGCACCAACAAAACAAAAAACCCCAATTCCTTTAACCACATGATTTCTTTTGTTTAATTTAGCACATAGTTTTCCTTCCTCATCATTATTTCATTAAAATGTCACAGATCACTTCACAACAGGGATGAATCCAGTGAAACACAGAAACCCCAGTGGTGTAGGTTGGTCTCTCCGGGTGGCTTCTTTCTTTTTATTTGATACCAGCCACACCCTCAGCCCTTTTTCTTTTTATTTAGACATAGGGTCTCGCTGCGTTGCACAGGGCCTTGCTAAATTGTTGAGGCTGGCTTTGAACTCGCGATCCTCCTGCCTCAGCCTCCCCAGCCGCTGGGATCACAGGCGTGCGCCACTGCGCCCAACTGTGCTATGCTTTTGATACAACTGGCAGCTCAGTAGTAGGTTTGTCTATACCAGCATGGCCACAAATGTGTGGGTAATGCCTTGCGCTGTGGCGATTTGACAGCCATGATGGCATCAGCTGGTAGAAATTCTTCAACTGTATTGCAATTCTTGGGGACACTGTCACCTCTGTGGCCCCACCATMTACTGAAATATCATTCTGCTTCATCTCTGTGTGTAGAAAAGTGTGTGGATCAGAAAAGTTCAGCTCAGTGAATTTTCACAAGAGTACAAAGGTGAACCAGCCTCTGGCTCAGGGGACCAGCAAAGCCCCCCCCCCCAAACCAGACCTGCCTCTTGAGCCCGCATCCGGTCACTGTCCCCCAAAGCACCATCACTATCCTGATTTCCATCATTCTAGGTTAGTTTTGCTTGTTTGGCCCTTGATACCCACGGACACCCAAGATATTACTYTTTTGCATCGGGCTTCTTCTGAGGTAGGATGTGAGACACGTCCATACGACTGTGTGTCATCATAGTTCATTTTAATTGCTGTACAGCATTGTATTATGTAAACAAATGACTATTTTCCATTCTACTATTGATGGACATCTGGGCAGTTTCCAGTTTGGGGCTACTACAAATATTGCTGCTTTGAAAAAAGAAAAAGTATTGAGTGTTGCAGTCAATGTCCTTTGGTGAAGGGTTGGAGGTGTAGCTCAGTGCTCACCCAGCATGCATCTGGCCCCAGGTTGGATCCCCAGCATTGCAAAAAATTACAATTAAAAAAATCTTTTGGTGAACGTAGGCACATATTTCTGGTGGGCATATACATACTAAGGGTTAAATTTCTGGATTATCAAGTATGTGAAATTTTGGCTTTATGAAATACACAGCCGTGCACTGAATGAAGATGTTTTGATCAATGATGGATCACGTACATGATGGTGGTCTCTGTATGATTGTATCGCCTGGTGATGCCGAAGTCTTTGTTGGTTAAGTACCCTCTATGCTGTTCACAGGATGACAAAATTGACTAATGACAAATTTCTCAGAGTTGTTCTGTCACTCATTTATTGTGCCAYTGTACTACCAATTACGTGACTTGGTTGTGAGTCACATCCCCGCTAACTTTTGGTGTTGTCCCTCTGTTTACTGTAGCCATTCTGGCTGGCATGTGCACGGTGGCTTAAGTTTGCATTTCTCTGGTGGTTGATAAAATGAAGTCCCTTTTATCTGCAGTGTAGATTCCTTCTTTTGTGAAGTGTTCAAGACTCAGCCATTTTCCCAACACATTGCCTTCTTCTTGTTCATTTATGGTGCTCTTTATGTATTCTGAGAACAGAATCCCTTTGCAGATAGACGACATCATATTCATTTCCTAGGGCTATGGTAACAAATTGGCATGAATTGGGTGGCACATAAAACAACAGAAACTTATTCTCTCATGGGTCCGGAGGCCTGAGTCTGAAGTTCAGGGCAGTGACCTCTCTGAAGGTGACAGGAAGACTCCTCCTCCGCCTCTTCCTTCCTCCTGGTGGCTCCTGGAAATCCTTAGCATTCCCAGATCGCTGTTCCTGAGACTGGAGTAGATCCTTTGCTCCAGTCTCTGCTTCTGACTCCCCTGGCCTTCCCCTCTCTGTCTCTCTATTCTAGTGGCCTGATCTTTTTTTCCGTTTCTGGGTACCAGGGATTGAACCCAAGGGTACTCGACCCCTGAGCACATCCCCAGCATTATTTTGTATTTTATTTAGAGACAGGGTCTCACTGAGTTGCTTAGCGCCTCCCTGTTGCTGAGGCTGGTTTTGAACTCACAATCCTCCTGTCTCAGCCTCCCAAGCTGCTGGGATTTTAGGTGTGGGCCACCGTGCCTAGCTCTAGTGGCCTACTCTTAAGGACACTTATTGGATTTAAAGCCCACCCTAATTCTGATCTCTTAACTAGTTACATCCACAAAGACCCTTTTTCCAAACGAGGTCCCATTCTAAGGTCCTGGGTAGATGTGCCTATGGGGAGAGGGGATTATTCAACCCAGCAGAGATGTATTAACAATTTTTTCTTCTACCCTGAAGATTACCTCTACTTCTTAACTGTATCTTCTAATGAGTAAAAGTTCCAAATTTTAATAGGGACCAGCTTGTCATCTCTTCCTCTTTATGGTTAGTGCTTAGCATCTGTTGGTGAAACATGGGTCCCCTGCATACACAGCTATCTATTCTCAATGGTATGCCAGAGGTGGCCGGTAGAGGTCCCCCTCCCCAGAATTCCCAGTGGAGGTGAGCTTTGTCTACTCAGGGAAATAGCCTGTTTGATGATTCATCTTGCATTACCACCTTTTCTTCCCTGCTTGGATTTCCTCTTCCTTTACTGGTATCTTCTGGAACCACATCAAATCAAATCCCCTCCCCCCGCACACATACACACACAATCACTTGCCCTGGAATCCTTGCCTCAGAAGAACCCAAACTAAAATGACAGTCTTCAAATCTGCCTCAACCCCAACTTCCTCATCTTCCAAAAGAGGAGAAAATATGCATCTTTGTGCAGAATTTGAATGCTGGGCACAGTGGCGCACGCCTGTAATCCCAGCAGTTTGGGAGATGGAGGCAGGAGGATCGAGAGTTCAAAGCCAGCCTCAGCAAAAGCGAGGCGCTAAGCAACTCAGTGAGACCTTGTCTTGAAATAAAATACAAAATAGGGCTRGGGATGTGGCTCAGTGGTCAAGTGCCCCTGAGTTCAATTCCCGGTACCCCCTCCAAAAAATAAATAAAGAGAACTTGAAAGAACCCCATCATAGTCTCAGCCATCCTGGGTTAGGATGGGTTAGGTAGTAAGATCCCTGGCACTCGAAGCAGTCAAAACAATCTGAATATCTACAAGAGAGGTGTTTGAAAAGGGTTGAACTAAGAGAAATTAGTGGTCCCATCTCTCCATGGAAAATTCTATGATTCAATATATGGTCAGTACTCCTTTTCTTTCTTTCTTTCTTTCTTTCTTTCTTTCTTTCTTTCTTTCTTTCTTTCTTTCTTTCTTTCTTTCTTGGTGTTTTTGTTTTGTTTTGTTTTGTTTATGTGTGTGTGGTACTAGGGACTGAAAACAAAGGCACTTAACCCCTAAGCCACATCCCAGCCCTTTGTATTTTTTTTAATTTTGAGACAGGGTCTCACTAGGTTGCTTACAACCTCACTAAGGTTGGCTTTGAGCCTGTGATCCTCCTGCCTCAGCCTCCAGAATCTCTGGGATCCCGGACGTGTGCCACCGTGCCTGGCGTAAACTCAGGAGTTAAAGAGGCGTATTTTAGGGACATATTAGGGCATGGGAAACACTAGCTCTGGCCTGACAGTCCTGCTCTGCCCCTGCCTCAGACTCTCCTGCACAGATGTCACCAACCTATCTAGAACATTCTTTCCCTGTTTTAGCTGGATTTGCCTAAAATACAGAACCATGGGTCACCCTGGAGGTCCAGGAGAGAGCCGGGGAATATATAGTTGTAAAACCTCCAGATGATTGGCATAACCTCTCAGTTTAGAGAGCCTCTAAGCTAGATGCGAGGTCTCAAGTGGCCCCCACCAGCTCTGGCATGGCTGCAGGTCAGGGCACGGGCCTGGAGGCCTGGACCATGGCTCTTGGTCGTCCCTGGTTGGGCTGCTTTCTGCTGACATCTGAAACCAGTTAGGCCTCACCAAGAGATAAGCGAAGTTCAGAAGGCAAACAAAACCTCCCGAGAGCCAGAAATCTATCAGGAACAACCAAGTGAGCTGTCGCGTGCCTTGGGTCAGTTCACTGGAATATTTCTTCATTTCCTCCACTTCCGTTTCTCAATCCAGAAAGTGTTGACTCTACCAATGTCCCCGGGCCCGAGACTCCTACTGGTGGCCAGAGCCCCTCTGCTCCTCCCAGGCAACCCTGGCCCCCCTTCCCTGGGCTGTGGGTTATGAGTCCATTGTTCAGCCAAGAAAAGCCACTTCAGTTTCCAACCACAAAATTCTCTGGAATCCTCTTCAGGGACCGCTCAGCCTCCTAAAAGGGGGTCAGACAGGAGCAGTTCGGCAGACATCTGGGAAGGGCCCAGCTCCGAGGGCCATGAAGAGCTTTCCCCTGGTTCCTCCCATTCTCCTGGCCTTCCTCCTGAGCGTCCACACATATGTCCTACGTACGTACGTAGCTGCCCCACCCTTCCCCGGGGGCTCCTTTCCAGAAAGGACAGTCTCAAGCTTCCCTCCTGTTTTTAGGAGACAGTGACACGGATAAATCATGCTGTTTCCAGTACAGCCATAAGATGATCCCCTGGAACTGGGTGCAAGCCTACCAGTTCACCCAGATCAGCTGCCCCCAGCAGGGCGTGATGTGAGTATCTCCTGGGCATGCTTTCAGGGTCCCTAGGCCGGCCATGTCACTGGATGGGGGTACCCAGCAGACACCCCCTCAGCGGCAGAATGAGAACCTGGGCTCCTGGGTTGGGTCCTGCCTCTGTGACAACATGCATGACTCGGAGCTCTGTTTGGAGCCTGCCATTCACACCATGGGCCAGGCACTGCGTGACCTGCAGACCCCGCAGGCTCATGAAAGAAAAGGGGCAAAGGTATTTGCACAACAGAGTTGATCTCGGTGGTGATGAGTAAAGAAGACAGAGAGAGAGAGGATGAAGGAGCTTGTCCCAGGCCCAGGAGGACCTGACTTGGCATCTGGAAGGTCTCCCTAAGGAAGGGACCCCAAGGATGAGTGGGAGGACATTCCAGAGAGGACCGAGGAGCATGGGAAGAGCCAGAGGCAGGGGGGAGGATGAACTGTCAGCCTGACAAGGGGGAGAGGCAGCCAGGAAGCGGGGTCAGGGTAACAAGGGAGCTGACACAGGATCGGGGCTCCTGGCAGGATTCAATAGGGTCATGTATGCAAGTCCTTCAGCACCGGGACTGGGCACAGCACATGGACAAGAAATGGAAGCTGCTCCAAGAGCAAACCCCAAGCGGGAACCAAGGCTCCTGATCACCAGAAAATATGCAGCAGGGAGAGAAGAGGCTCCAGGGACAAACCTGAACGTCATCATTTTAGACAGAGTTGAGGGTAGAGACGAGGACATTGAGAGCCTATACAGAGTTGGGGGAGCTCCAGGGCTCAGGAGGTCCCRGCTCTTCTCCTTCAGGTCTTGAGGGGCTTTCTGGGACTTTAAAGACATCCACACTGAACCGACAGCTGGCAAAGTCCCTGAGCTGGGGTCAAAGCAGAACTCTGTCACAAGCTGGGGGACCTTGGACAAGACAAGATCCCTCCATTCTAAAATGAAGGGGACAGGGAGCTCAAAGTTGGAGACTTGGGGACATCAACCATGGCCCCCCATTTTTAATAAGCTCACAGTAAGGAATGCAGGAACCACTTATAAACAGCTACAATGAGCAACTCAAGATGATGCAGATGAGAATTAAGTGGAGTGGTGGTGTGGGTCCATTTCCCGGTGAGGAAAATATTCTCCCACTGATCTTGGTGTCAGCTGGATGAGCTATAAATATACTAAAAGCCATCGAGTTGTGACTCACTTTCATTGGATGAGTGAAATAGCGTGTGGATTGTGTCTCGGGAAGGCTGTTGTAAATGGCAGGTACAAGACACAGGTTGCAGATTAGACCTGTGGGCAAGTGTTTCCTGGGGAGGGGGGCCTCCGAGCCTGGCTTCCTATGGGAACAGAGAGGAAGAAGAGCAGGGAGAAGAGGGGGTAGGGACAGAGTGTGGCAGGCCTGTGGGAGGGTGGCAAGCTAGCCAGGGAGCTGCCCGGCCCTCTCCCCCTCTCCCAAGGGAAGCCAAGGGCTCCCTAGTCACTTCTGTCTTTATTTCACAGATTCACCACCAAAATAGGTGAGAGAGTCTGCGTCCAACCGAAGGAAAAATGGGTGCAGAGATACATTTCTCTGTTGGAAGCTCAGAAATAATCGTGACTCTGCTGAGTTTCCAGTCCAGGGACGCCTGGACCCTGCTCTTGGCCCTGTTCCCCTTGGTGGAGCTGGGGCAATCTCTGCASAGGGCCTCCTGGCAGGGAGGGAAGCATGATTTCCACCAGAGTTTTTCTTCTTTTTTTTTTTAAATAAAGGTTTTTCATGAAGACTTGACTTGTTGTTGATAAAATTATTAATGGATTAGAACTTGATTTTTTTCCCCCCTAGGAAAGGAAACCAAGTCAGTAGGTGTTAACCAGCTGCCTGGCAGGTCCCTAACCCCTGAACTRACCCTGTTATTGAATTTTACAGTTTTGTTGTTGTTTTTGTTGTTGTTGTTTCATAATTGCAAAAAAGACAAATTTATATACATTTTGGCAAAAGGCTTGGCATATGTTCTAACATTGTTGAGAAAGGTAAGTTAGGTTATTTGGAAAAGTAAACCCTGCCTAACATTTCACAGTCCATTCATGCTGGGTACCTGTTGCCTCACCGTACGGGAAATGTTTTTAGAAAACAATAACTGTCAGGTGCTGTGGTGCATGCCTGTAATCTCAGCAGCTCAGGAGGCTGAGGCAGGAGGATTGCAGGTTTGAGGCCAGCCTCAGCAATTTAGTGAGGCCCTAAGCAACTTAACAAGACCCTATCACAAAATTTTAAAAAAATAAATTAAATAAAGAGGGCTGGGCATGTAGCTCAGTGGTAAAGCACCCCTGGGTTGAATCCCCAGTACCCAAAACACAAACAAACAAAAAATCCCAGAAAGAAAAAGAGAAAACCAAATACTAATCAATGAACATGAATAGGTTCTACCTACTAACCCTAGGAGGTCAATGTCTTAACTAGCCCAAGTAAATTCTTTTTTTTTTTAAAGAGAGAGAGAGAGAGAGAGAGAGAGAGAGAGAATTTTTTAATATTTATTTTTTAGTTATCGGCGGACACAATATCTTTGTTTGTATGTGGTGCTGAGAATCGAACCCGGGCCGCACGCATGCCAGGAAAGCGAGCTACCGCTTGAGGCACATCCCCAGCCCCCCCAGTAAATTCTTTTTAAGAAATAATTATAGATTCACAGGGGTTGCAGCCTATGGAGAGGGATGGGCATGGTGGCGCCCACCTGGGGGAGGGGTGGAGCTGAGACAGGAAGATCACAAGCTGGAGACAGACCTGGGCAAYTTAGACCCTCTCTCGAATAAATCAATAGGACTGGGGATGTGGCCCAGTGATAGAGTGCTTGCCTAGCATGTGTGAGGCCCTGGGTTCCATCTCCAACAACACAAAGATAATAATAATTATAATAATAACATGGGGAGATCAGGTGCACCCTTCCTCAGTCTCCCCCCATGGTTACATCTTACAGAATTATCATACAGTGTCAAACCTGGGAGATTCACATTGGTAAAAAGTGTGTGCATGACWCTATCATTCTGCCATTGGATCACAGGTGGATTTGAGTAATCACTAGAATCAAGATACAGAAGGGGGCTGGGGCTGGGGCTGGGACTTAGTGGTAGAGCGCTCGTCTAGCATGTGCGAGGCCCTGGGTTCGATCCTCAGCACCACATAAAAAAACAAAATAAAGATATTGTGTCCATCTACAACTAAAATCATTTTTTGAGAGAGAATTTTAATATATATATATTTTTTTAGTTTTTGGCGGACACAACATCTTTGTTTGTATGTGGTGCTGAGGATTGAACCCGGGCCGCACGCATGCCAGGCGAGCGCGCTACCGCTTGAGCCACATCTCCAGCCCCTTTGCTGGTTTTTAAATTAGATTCCTTGTCTTTGCTGTTGATGTGGGTTTCTTATATATTTTAGATATTGACTCTTCTCTGAGGACTCTTTTCTGACATTTGATAGTCTGTTTTTCTCTCCATTGAGATTGTTTACTTAGCTGTGCAGAAACTTTTCAGTTTGACAGAACTGCTTTTGCTTTCTTCTAAGAATCTTATGGGTTCAGGTCTGCTTTTAAGTCTTTACTCCATTTTGAATTAATTTTTGCAAGTAGTATAAAATAAGGTTCCAATTTCATTCTGCTGTGTGTATATCAGGTTCCCCCCCCCCATTTTTTTTTTTTTTTTTGTACTAGGGATTGAATCGAGGGGCATATAATCACTGAGTCCTGTAAGGGTCCGGCGGAGCGTTGGAGGGAGAGACCACACAAGAGACCAGCTTCATGCAATTGCAGGGGGAAGTTTTATTGAACCAGCATGCTGGGGCTCAAGGCTCACTCAGGAAGGGAGAGCAGCCCAGAGCCCAGAGCAGAGGTCAAGCAGAGCTTAAGTACACTTTTTGGAGAGGGYGGGGGGCTTTGCATACATCAGAACAAATCATCTGGAGGCGCGGGAAAATTGAACGACAACCCTGAGCCATGATTAGTACATCTATTGGCGGGAACAGTCTGGGCAGGGGTGATTGGTCACCACTGAGCGGGGTACACATTTAAACTGATTGGTTTTGTGGCCTGGATGCTTACGTCTGAGCTATTTGGAGCCCTTAGCTAATAAACAACCAGGGAATCAATGGAAATATTTACTGGGCAGTTCAGGTATTGTTCTAACAGCTACAGAGATTACAGGTTCCGGGGGTAGCAGAGGAATTTTAACAATACCTGGCCTATTATTATTATTTTTTTAGCCCAAGTCTTTCAATTTAGAAACCTTACAATCCCCAGTCTTTTACACTTTAACTCAGACTCTTGCAGCTTAGAATCAGCTTAGACATTTTACCTTTACAAGTCCCACCCCCAGCTTTTATTTAGAGACAGGGTCTCTCTGAGTTGCTTAGGGCCTCGATAAGTTGCTGGGGCTGGCTTTGAACTTGTGATCCTCTTGCCTCAGCCTTCCAAGCCTCTGGGATTACAGACATGTGCCACTGCACCYGGCAGGGCCAGTAAATATTTGTGGGGTATACTGCCAAAGACAAATATTGACAGCTGCTTTTTGCTCAAGTTCAACTCTGAATCAGAGCGGTGTCCATGGGGCCCAGGGCAAGGCATCCCAGACACAACTCAAGACCAAACTCCTGAGTTGGATCCACCCACTAAGGACTGCAGTTCCACYTCTTGCCAGCAGAGGACAACAGTCTCTGTCCATCTTCCAAGGATTCCTGCGAGAGTTCCCTGACATCTGGCCAATTCCCAGAAAAGTCCAGACTAATGAGCCTTCACTGAGGAAAGATCTGAGACTGGGATTCATGGGCAATCACTGCAGGAAGACTGCGGGGGAGAGACGTGAAGAAAGGAAGAGGTCGACCTTCAGCCAGCACAGGTCAAATGCTGRGGAGGGGAGCCATGGAAGGCAGGGCCATGAGGACATCCCACGAGAGAATGGACTGGTCGAAGCTTGACTGGAGACACCCTGACCTTGAGTCTCAGTCTCTTCACTTGTCAAACAAGGAGGCCAGAATATAAGATTTCAGAGTTCCTGAGTTCCAGAATTGGAGCTCCTGAATTCCTTCCTTATACCAAAGCATGCTCACGAAAATCTAGCGGAGAGATGGGCATGTGCAGATAYAGCCCTGCAAGAGTCCACAAGGGAGGCCAGGTCTGGGCCAGGTCCCTCTCCAGGGCTTAGGCACTTTTGGGGAGGGGCGAGGGTGGGGGCAGGGATTGAGCTCTGGGGCACCCAACCACTGAGCCCCATCCCCAGCCCTATTTTGTATTTTATTTAGAGTCAGGGTCTCACTGAGTTGCTTAGTGCCTGGCTTTTGCCGAGGCTGGCTTTGAACTTGTGATCCTCCTGGCTCAGCCTCCTGAGCCACTGGAATTACAGGCGTGGGCCACTGCACCCCATTCATTTTGATTGTATTCTAAAATCCTCTGCTTCTGTCACCCCTAGGAATCACCTACCACACCCCTAATATCATGCCTGGGCCAAAGCCTGACACATAGTAAATTCTTACTACCAATGTACAGGAAAAGAAGGGAAGGAATTCAAAAACAGAATTCAACATCCCTGGCTCTGTGTGGGCACAGGGCAGAGACGGTGGCACCTTGGAATTGCTGGGACACTTGTCCTAAATAAACCTGCTCCTGCYCTTCAGGAGCTTCAGTGAAGCCCCTCTAACCCCCCTGCCCACCTTCTGWTGTATCCTAAGGGAAGGTGAAAGTCAGGGATTCCAGGTGAGGTGGGTCCCCRGCAGATGGGTTCTGGCCTCTGTAGACAGGTAGGCACCTGGAGCAAAAGCAGAAAAATTGCAGAGGAGATGTGAGAGCCCAGGATTAGAGAAGATGGGTTGGTGTCCTAGAAGCCAGTCACGGTGTGTCTCTTCTACCTCCCTCTCCCTTGGCAATGACCTTGTCTCCTCCATTAGAGAGCCACTGGTTCAGCTGGAGCTGGGACTCCGTGGGTCCATTAAGACTCCCCTGGGGCGGACAGGCATCCACAGAGTGCATTAGAGCGAGACAGACTGGCGGGGAGGTGGGGGCCGGCTTGGCAGCCRCCGCCCCCAAAAACCAGCATCTCAGCCTCATTCCTTCCCAAACAGCAACCCCAGCAAATCCCAGGAGCCTGATTAAGGKTGTCTCTGCACCAAGCAGGTCACCGCCCTGTCTCGAGCCTGCAATTCCCATGCCATGGCTGYTCTTCCCTGAACGTGCAGTCTGCTCATACCGACCCCTTCTGCACGCGGGACCCGTGTGCTCGCAAGCGAGGGGAGCCTGGCTGGGATCCACCGCTTATCGGCCCTGTGATCCGAGATGAGTTCCTGAACCTGAACCCTCCATTAACCTCGTCACCAGCAAAATGGAGCCGGTCATGACACCAAGCTCATCAGGTTGCCGAAGATTACGAGAGATAAGGCATCAAAGGCTCATAAAGCTTGAGCCGGATCAATAGTAATAAGTGGCTAAGGGAAGTCCACGGGTCGCAGCTGCTGCCTGCCTTGCTATTTTCTTTGTTAGGATGACATGAGTTGCACAAGATGATATCTAGGGTCCACTCAGATGCTAATATTCCAATCATTCATTAAATAAATAGTTATTTACCACATTTTTWAAAAATGCAAAACCCTCTTCTGGATGTTAAGGCTACCGAAATGACTTAAAAAGAGAAAAATCCCTGTCCTCGTGGGGAA